ACATAAATCCCTTCCATGTTAAACATGTCCTTGGCTTCGGAAAAAATAAGAAAATAGCATGGTGGGGGGGGTTTTTTTTTTTTTTTTTTTTGGTTAAGAGAAAGTCCTCTTAACTATTTGGCAGGCAGCATTTTAGATTACTTTAAGAAATTCTTCTTAGTTAACAAGGATAAAATGTTGTGCAGAATTGTAGTCTGAGGAAACATTTTGGCTCCCTAGCATTTAGCTTATATGTTGGATATACAATGACCCACTTTTTTTTTAGGCTCTATTTAATTGTCCAAAATTTTCTGAGAGTTTTTTTTGTATTTGAAATGCCTCTTTGCATCCAGCCCTGTGAATTTGTTCCCAGGCCAGCATACTCCGTGTATCTTGGGCAACAGTTAAAATGTTTTCCTGGAATTTATCACTCATGTCTCTGAGCTAAGCCGTGACTGACAACTCAACTTTCCTTAGAGGCTGCAAGGTTTCCAACCACTATGGCTTGGAAATCTCCCAAATTGGATTCTGTACATTTTTCAGAACTGACTGAAGAAATTTAACATCTCAAAATACATGCGTTGAGATATTATTTCTGTGTTCCTTGGCCCCTTTAGTTTGGCCCCTTCCTTTCTGTTCTCATGTTTCAAGAGAACATTAACTAAAAATACTTTCTTTTCCTGGGTTTTATTTGGTTGAAACTCTGGCATTTGGCAAAGTCTGACTGCCATCTGTAAGTGATTCTCGAAGAAAATGAATTGTAGGTTTCTAGTCACAGAGCAGGGAAAATTGCTTTCTGGAAGGGAATATGCTGGAACCGTAGGACAAAATTTAAGCTTTCTACAAACTGGTGGGATTAGAGCAGAGCTGGCATAACCAGGTGCAACATTTTGTGGCAGATATGATGTCTGATTTCTGGAAGACACGAATCAACTATTTTTCCTGAGCTCCAGCCATGAGGTCTGGTTTAATAGATTTAACTGTAGTGGGCACAGTTAAAGCATTAGCGCCTTTAAGTTGTATGTTTTAAAAGTTTCAGTAGCCGATGCTATTTGAACTGAAACACTAAAATCCAATAAAGTACAAGTTGTGTGACTTGATTATGCTATGAATCTAAAGCTCCATTGTTTAGTATTTATGTTGGGGTCTGTAGCACACAGTTCTCTTTTATTTATTTCTAAGAGGGGGACTTGATTTTCCAAAGGTTTGTGCTTTAGTATTTTCTAAGTATTAACTGAAAGTGAAATGCAGATCTAATTTAATCAGTTCCATGCCTTATAAAAGCATATACTTTAAACAACAATTGTTTTATTCATACATCATATTACTATCTGGATTGAAATAAAGCTATACATGCCTTTCGTTTGATTCATGTTCCTTGTGAAATACACAACCTGTATTTGGGGCCCCTACGGCCATGCCATTATATAATTGTATGCATAGTTTTTTGTTAGAATTATGTGACTAATAGTAGCTTCTTATTCAGAAAGGTGTAAACATGTAGATGTTTATACACAAAGAAAAAATAATTGGAATTTTTTTTTTTTTTGCCAACATATTAAGCGCTACAACTGTTGGATATTCTGTATGGAGAAAGAGAGGGTTTTCTTTAGATACTTCTTATGCACCGCCGGGGAAATCAGAGGATTGGCAAGTTTAAGCTCTCTACAAGAATCTGACCTACTAATGGTCAAAGCAAATTGGCGGTAGATAGGAGTCAATAGAATCAAGGTGGGCTGGACTTAGATGCCTTCTGGGCACGAAGGGACTCGTGACTGATGACCCGTTTGACCCCCTCCCTCTGGCTCAGCCTGGTCATCTCCTACACTTTTGCAGGTAAACGATTCTACCTGTTCTCTGCTGATGCGCCGTGTTCTTTTCCTCCCTAGAGGTGGCTCCTCCAGGATTGAAGAAGCATGCGATATCTATGCCAGAGCAGCTAACATGTTCAAAATGGCCAAGAACTGGAGTGGTATGTAGCTGTTTGACCCTGTGGCATATTTGGCTTGCTAAGATACACATACATCACTTTGTCTGCTGATAATTCAGGGGTCTCCAACCTTGGCAACTTTAAGACTTGTGGACTTCAACTCCCAGAATTCCCCAGCCAGCCCTCGCTTGCTGGGGAAATCTTGGAGTTTAAGTCCAGACATCTTCAAGTTGCCAAGGGTGAGAAACACTGGCTTAATGTTTAACCTTGGG